TGATATTTTTCTCACTACACAAGAAATACGAACTCTTACTTTCGCGAAACTCATAAAGATGTCCGATAGAAACGTGAATGACAATATTATGGATGGCAAAGAGAAACTGTGCTCAGAGAAGCTAGATATTATAAAATATCTAGTTGGTGTTGTAAAAAATGAAGATTTCATTTCACAAATCTGTGTTGATCTCTCTACTAAAAGACAGAAAACTACATCTGAAGTATTTCTTTTACCGGGTATCGAGGGATGTGGAACTGTATTTAATTACTTAGCATCAAATATTGAATTTTCAGCAACGTCCTTGCTTTATAACAACATCGATACTACTACAAACATTGTATCTGAGAAAACTGATTATCTTATAATAAACGTACGCAATTGCATTAGTAATTTTATATTATTAAAACATTATTAATTCTGTTTTATATTGACGGAGATTTATTTTTACAGCATATATTACCAAAGCTTAAAGATGAAAAAGATTTTATAATAGTAGGATACTCTTTCGGATCTATTATTGCAGTTGAATTAACAAGAAGATTAGAAACTATGAATTTTAAAGGCCGACTAGTTCTTATCGATGGCGCTCCTAAACAAATGAGAAAAATACATGAACATTTTGCATCAAATTTTAGTGATGCAGACCTTCAGATATTCATTCTAACTAATATTATGGAAATTTATTCTGTAGGAAGTAATAAAAAGGTATAATTTTTCTTTATGCTTATATTAAAATTATAATTTTTACATGTTTATACATGTATATACAGGGTGCCCATCACTACCACGCATTATCTCTTAAGAACGTGTTCTTGAGATAATTTGGAGACGAAAATCCTAATACAAAAATGTTGAGGCTATATACTAAATAATAATTTTTAAATTAGTAGCGGTTAAAGTTTTGAAATCACAGAGCTGACATTTCGCGCGCTCAGGCACGTTGATATGACAAGTAATAAAGGTATTACCACTCGGCCTTCTCGACAACGCGAGATTATCATACAAATATGTAATGATATTTTTATTAAGAAATCGTTTCAGCTTCTATACGGAATCTATTTGTATATAACGTATGCGTAATTAATATAGAAACATATTATAAAATATTAATTTTTAGTAGTGAAATATTATGAGCTGTCAAAATAAATTTATAGCCATATTCACTCATCTCATTACATTGATACTTGTTATATCGACATACCTGAGCGCGCGAAATGTCAGCTGTGTTTCGAGAACTTTAACCACTACTAATTAAAAAAATATTATACGAGTAGCCTCAACATTTTCATATTAGGATTTTTGTCTCTAAATTATCTCAAGAACACGTTCTTAAAAGATAATACGATAGTGACGGGAGTCACCCTGTATACACTGGGCAACAAAATTAACGCATAAATATATCAAAATTTTGCATAACTTTAAACAATCGTAAGTTCGCGAAATATGGTCGTATAGAAAGTTTTTTCTCATTCTTAAGGGTAAAGCCTGTACTTAAAGAAGCTTTCGATAGATTTTTAATATCCTATTTTTTCTCCTACCCGTCATCTTTTGAAAAATAAAAATATGTTACGTCTCCAAAAAAATTGCATAATTTGACGCACTTTATGGAACGGAATAAATTTTTTTCGTAAATGCCATGATAACTATCTTAAAGTTTGGACTTTTTTATATAAATTTGAAAAAAAATTAAACTTTGTACGATTTTTTTTTTAATTTCCCCGAGCAACTGCCCCGTGGTACGCATCGGATAATGCTAATACTGGCGGTAATTTATTGAAAATGTACTAATAACTTTAATATGCGGTAACTCCGCGAAAAAAAATTGTGCAAAGTTTGATTTTTTTTCAAATTTGTATAAAAAAGTTAAAACTTTACGATAGTTAATATTTGCGAAAAAAATTTATTTCATTCCGTAGAGTGCGTTAAATTATGCAATTTTTTTGGAGACTTAACATGTCTTTATTTTTTAAAAGATGACGTAGGAGGAAAGATAGATTAAAAAACTATTGAAAACTTCTTTAAGTACAGGCTTTACCCTTGAGAATGAAAAAAAACTTGTGGATATGATCATTTTTCGCGGAATTATGATTGTCTACAATTATGCGAAATTTTGATATTTTACCTATGCATTAATTTTGTTATCCAGTATACATACATGTGTGTGTGTGTGTGTGTGCGCGCGCGCGCGCGCATGCACGCACGCACGCACGCACGCACGCACATGTATGTATACTGGATAACAAAATTAATGCATAGATAAAATATCAAAATTTCGCATGATTGTAGACAATCATAATTCCGCGAAAAATGATCGTATCCACAAGTTTTTTTTCATTTGCGTGCGTGCGTGTGTGTGTACATATATGGTATGTTATATGTGTTATTCATACATATTTATAATATGTGTATATGTATTATGTAATATACAGGGTGTCCAGTACTCAATGATAAAGCGCCCGTGGGCAGGTAGAGTGGGCTAAACTGAATCAAAAAATCCTCTACCATTTTGTGATTTTTGCAATAGTTATCGAGATACTAATTATTTAAAAAAAATTACGCTATAATATATAAAAAAAAGTATATAAAAAAGTATCATACAATACATTTTCCTAAACCAAAAATATTATTTTAACAAATAAATGTTGTCCAAAAACAAATATAAGATCATACAAGTTGCCAAGTATTTGATTAAACATAGAAACAAAAATATTTTATTCCAAACCAAAAATATTTTTTTAATAAACCATTTAAACTATCCGAAATTATATGCAGCAAAAGTTTAATTTCCATTGACTTTCCAATTAATTTAAAGTTTTAGAAAACAGGCATAAAGTGTCTAAAAAGATCAATGTGATCATAATGAAGCAAAAACTTGGCCATTATGTAAAATTGTTTCTTTTTTTAAAAATGATTAGTATCTCGATAACTATTGCGAAAATCGCAAAATGGTGAAAGACTTTTCGATTCAGTTTAGGCCACTCTACCTGCCAATGAGCGCTTTATCGGACTTAACCTTTATCTTTAGCATTATGAGTTTCGGAGCCTGTATATACATACATAAACAGTGCGGTCCATAAGTTCCTGGACTGATTTTTTGCAGCCTTCCCATTGGACGCCATTTATCGAACGACTGTTGAACTACGTAGTGTGAAACCCTTTCGAACAGCCGTGTTGAGTGGCATCATTTTAGCCGCAG